CATACCGCTGTGCCACTGGGGGGGGGGGCAGAAGAATGTGCAAAATTTGTCAAGACAAACTTCGCTAAAAAGGTTGTATAAAAAATCATAATTAGTTGGATAAAGTCTTTCATAGCAAGGATAAAAGTTACTTTAAAAAGTAATATGGTACTTACTTCTGGCAACTGTAGGTCGATCAGGGAAGATATCACATTTAGACAACTGTAGGTCGATCAGGGAAAATATCATATTTAGACAACTGTAGGTCGATCAGGGAAGATATCACATTTAGACAACTGTAGGTCGATCAGGGAAAATATCACATTTAGACAACTGTAGGTCGATCAGGGAAGATATCACATTTAGACAACTGTAGGTCGATCAGGGAAAATATCACATTTAGACAACTGTAGGTCGATCAGAGAAAATATCACATTTAGACAACTGTAGGTCGATCAGGGAAAATATCACATCTAGACAATTTTAAGTCCTCATCTGTTACTGTTAGAATATTTTAACATGTTAATTTTTTGTAGAACACGAACATGATTACAGATAAGCATAACGAATTCATAATAATTTTAGCATATACACCTGTTCTTTAATAAAAGTTTCAACATACGTGTAGCAAAACAGGACCCAGTTTTGCCTTTTCTTTCACAAATCAGCATTTAAGTATTACTGAACCAAATGTCGTAAAAATCTTAAAATAATAAACCCAATGTTTTACTTTATATAAAAAAATTGTAACATGACATTAAGTTTAGATCAAAACGGCAAATGAACGAGGAGTGGCATAGAGGCGAGTGAGTCCACACTATGAATCAGATTTTAATAATTCATGTACTTTTACAGCAAAATCTTATCCCACATTTCAAAACAGTTGATGCACTTTAAGAATAACGGTTAAATCCCATTATTCAGTCAATAAAGGATAACCTAAAAGTTAGCGTTAAGTGCTGTTGACTAGAAGCATTCCCTTAGTCTTTCAGTTCAAAAGTGAGAACGGCTATCCGCATATACCCCTTGTGTAGTTTGCGCAAAAAAAAAAAAATCTACAACACAAACAAACAAGCAATTCAACAACAATTACAACGGCTATTAATGACTTTTATCGGAAGAAAGAATATTATCTAAAGAGACCAATACAAAAAGTCCTTGAATGCTTGGCCAAGTTTCATAAATCTAAATTCTCTGACGCATTCTCAAATTCTGTAAGCGCTATTTTCTATTTCATACTGATTGTATTTATAAATAATGGTAATAAATTTAACCTTTTTCAAATAAACAATTTCATATGCGTTAACTTGTATTCGGAGGTTATACCATGAAATGCGTTTGTAATATTAATTCCTTCCAAATACAAATCCACACGCACGCAACAAGCTCATATTCAAGCTAATAATTGAGTCCTTTTGCATTCAAGGATTGGTTAATAGAAGGAAATCATGCGTCACAAGGCCACACCTCTAAGTTTGTGTGTAATGTTACCATAGCAATATTAGGACTACTTGCTTGTTTCAGTACGTTAAACACATTAATTTGTCGGAACCTTTGTATAGGTGGCACTACGGTAAATTTAATACCCTTTTAAAGTTTGTATAGTGTTTATAAAACTCTTACGTTGACAAGAACTTCAGAAGTTGGTAAGAAGTAAAAAAAAAATGAACATGAATAAAGCAGAAATTCAGGAAACACAGAAAACAAGTTTTTCTGTGAAAGTTAAGAAAACCCTGTGGTACATCTTTGTAGTATCAGCGGTGGTTGGTTTTATTTATCAAAGTTGGAGTTTTATCATCATCTATCTCCATTACCAAACTGTTGTAGATGTGCGGGTTAATGCTCACGATGACCTGATTTTCCCTGCCATCACCGTGTGTAACAATAACAGGTAGGTTTAACCCAGCAGCCATCATCCGATAAACAATAGCTTCTTATTAAAAATAATGTAAAGCTTGAGCTGTAACTAAAATAAGATCCTGGACCTCCCCTCCAATTGAATATCAGCTATCTAAGTGGAAATAACTTGAAGATAACTTTTATATGCGGAAACATCTGTTAGCTGAGTTCTTGCACAGATCTTAAAATATAACGTTGATAAACGGAAACATCGGCACATGTAGACATGTAGATCTTGAAAGTCGAGTTGTTCAAAACTTGCAAATAACTGTACTATTTCCTATAAATCATTTTCCATGCGCTTCTCCTATGATTAGTGTCTAACGAAAAGCTTCAGCAGATATTTCCTTTGCAACATCTCAACCAACAATTGGTCCAGTTATCAACGCTTTTTTCAAGTTCTGAGCAACTCGACTTTCAAGATCT